ACACAATGGAGTACTCTGCAGCTGTAAGAAAGATCTCTCATCCTTTGAGGAGACATGGAGGGACCTGGAGAGTATTATGCTAAGCGAAATAAGCCAATCAGAGAAAGACAAATATCACATGATCTCACTTATTTGTGGAATATAATGAACAAAATAAGCAGATGAAAAAAATAGACCCAGAGACATAGAGGTAGGGTTCAGACTGACAAACCTCAGAGGAGGTGGGCAGGGGGAGAGAAGAGATAAATCAAAGAACTTATATACATGACCAATAGACATAGATAACAATGCTGCGGGGGGGGGGGGGGGGGATCGGGAGGAGGGTGTCAACGGGAGAAAAAGGAAAAACATCTGTAACAAAAATAAGGTGATTAATAAGAAAATTAAATTAAATAAAAAAAAGAAATGAGTGAAGGGGATCAAGAGGTCTAAATTGGTCATAAGATAAACAAGGCATGGAGATGTGCAGCACAGGGACTATAGAGAATAATATTATATTGGCTTTGCATGTGACAGAGGGTAACTAGGCTTATTGGGGCGATCATCCCATAATGTATGTGAATGTAGAATCACTATGCTATACACCTGAAACTAATATATTGTACCTCAATTGAAAAAAAACAAAACATATCCTTGGGTGAGGAATGAAAATAGATAGAAATAAATAAATAAATGAAAAGGGCTTACAATTATGAATCCGTTCTCTGTCCCTTTGAGATATACATGTTTCTCCTAGAACTCAGGACCTGAGAGCCACTCCCTTAAACTACAGTCATCAGGAAGGAAAGGGCCTCTGTGGGAGGGTAGAAGCCCGGCTTTGGTTACTGCCAGCTAACAGACACGGCTGGCCTCATCAGCAGTTACACTGTCCAACCCTTTGTAATTGTTCACTTCCTTGACTATGTGAAATGTCCAGTCACCTGTGTACAAATAAAAATGGAATCAGCCCGGGCCGGTTTGGCTCAGCGGTTGGAGCGTCGGCCTGCAGTACAGAGAGACCCGGGTTCGGTTCCCACTAAGGGCACGTACCTCGGTTGCAGTTTGTCCCCGGCCCTGGTTGGTCGTGCGGGTGGCAGCCACTCGATGTGTCCCTTTCACATCGATGTTTCTCTCTCTCTCTCTTCCTCTCTCTCCCTCCCGCTCTATCTGAACAAAAAATGGAAAAATGTCCTCGGGTGAGGATAAAACAAAACAAAACAAAACAAAACAAAAACAAATAAAAATGGAATCAGTTCACGCTGGACGCTCTTTCCTATTGCAATCATATATTCCTGATTAAAATCTGTCCTTGCACCTATAACTAGTGTCCAAATTTATCTTTGACACTTGCGCACTGTAGCGTGCCTAGTCCCTAAGGGGCATAGCACGTAGTAGATGCTCAACAAATATTTCCTGTTGGAATATGTTGATTGAAATAATCCATTTGTTTCAGTTATCAATTATTGTGTAACAAACCATCCCCAAACTTCATAGTGTAAAACAACAACCGTCTTATGTTCATGAATTCTGTGGGTCAGGAATTTGAAAGGGGTACCTCTCTTCTCTGTCCCATGATATCTGAGCTACCACTGAGATGACCTGAATGGCTGGGGTGACTCCAAAGGATAGGGAGAAGCCACTTCCAAGATGGCGTCTTCACTAACCTATCTGATGCCTGGGCTGGCTGGGCTGGCTGGGCTGGCTGAAGCTTGGGCTCTTGGCTGAGTGTCTGCCTGTGGCCTCTCCAGCACGATGGGACCAGAATAATTGGGTTTATTCCCTGCCAGCTCAGGGCTCCAAGAACAGCGGCCCCATGAACAAGGTGGAAGCTCCCTCTATATCTAGCTTGAGAAGTCACAGAGCTCCACTTTTACCATTTTCTAGCAGTTGAAGTACTTGTTAACCTGCCTTGATTCAAGGGGAATATCAAGGAATTTACAGTCTTGTTTTCAAACCACCACACTATCCCAGGTTTGGGAAGAATTCTCTTGCAATTAATCCTTTGTATCAGTGAGGATTAAATTTGGTGGCATAGGACAGAAAACCCATAGAAACAGTAGCTTAAGTGAAATAGAAGTTTCTCTCTCTTTCACACAGAAACAAAGCCTGGAAGGAGGTCGTCAGGATTGGTTCAGTGCCCTCAATGTTAGAGACCTGGGCTCCTTCTGCCACGTTGTTCCACCATACTCGGTTCATGACTTTTACCTCATGAGACAATGTGGTTGCTTGAGCTCCAGCCTTAATATCCAAATCCAGCCAGCAGGAAGAAGGAAGAGTAAGGAAGTTTCTTTTAAGGACATTACTCGGAAGCTCCATCTGACACTACCTCTTATAGCCCATTGGCAGCACTTTCAGTCACATGCCATCTATGTCTAGCTGCAGGGGAGGCTGGGACAGCTGGGCTTCATTTTGGAAGACCATGGGCCCGGAGAAACAAACAAACAGACAAATGAAAAAATCAAAGTGTTCTACTATTCAGTAAGAAGAGGAGAATAGATGCTGGCAGACATCCAGCAGTTTCGGCAACACCTTTTTATTCTTTTCTATTTCCTGCTCTGTCACTGACCAGCTAGGGCCTGGACAACATACTTCCTTTGTTCTGGTTACCAGTTCCTCTGGTCATTAGGGTGGAGGGTACTGCAACCTAATAAAGAAATTCAAAGTATTAAGCAGATAAACGTGTCAGTGCTCTGGTTTCAGGGAGAAAGGGAGCCCCACTCAGTAAGCCTCCTTTTTCTTTCCCGAGTGGTCCCCTGGAGTTCCTGGGAGCAGACTTCGAAAACTACCAGATTAGATTATCACTGAGGCCCTTCCAAGAAGGAGACCTGAAGAATTCATGTTTGTTACAATTTGGGAGAAACCTCTCTCTCTCTTTGCCAGGTTGTGCCCTCCATTAGATACCTCTCCAGTGAGTTCAAGCAGAAGCCATAAAAGTGAGCGTGAGACACAAAACCTGCCACTCATTAACCACTCACTGTGTGTCTGACACTGCACCAAGCTCTAAGAACATAAAGTGACCACAGCTCATACTCTTAAGTCCCTTACATTTTGTTGTTGTTTGTTACAAGGCCAGGGTTGATTGTAGCACGATCCAATGTACCAAATGCTGTAATAAAGTATGATGGTGTTATGGAATGAATGGTGTCCCCCCCAAAAGATGTATTGAAGTCCTAATCCTTGGTACCCATGAATGTAACCTTATTTGGAAATAGGGCCTTTATAGGTGTAATCAAGTTAAGATAAGGTCATTCGAATAGGCTCAAATCCAACAGGACTGGTTTCCTTAGAAACCAGTAGAAGGGCTCAGGTACAGACACACACACTAGGAGAATGCCATATGACCATGGAGGCAGAGACTGGAGTGAGGTATCTATAAGCCAAGGAATGCTAAGTATTGTCAGCAACCTCAGAAACTAAGAGAAAGGTATGAAACATTCTCCCCTGGAGCTGTCATAGAGAACATGGCCTTGCTGACAGGACTGGTTAATTTTGGACTTCTAGTCTCCAGAACTGTGAAGAAATAAATTCCTGTTGTTTTGCAGCCACCCAGTGTGTGTGGTCGTTTGTTATGACAGCCCTAGGAAACTTACAGAGATGGTCAGTTTGATGTGTCAACTTGCTAGGCTTTAATCCCCCGTTATTCAAACACTAATCCGGATGTTGCTGTAAAGGTATTTTGTGGATATGATGAACGTTTACAACCAGTTAACTTTAAGTTAAGGTGAGCCTGAGTCAATCAGTTAAAAGGCCTTAAGAGCAGAACTGAGGTTGTCCTAGAAAATAAGAAATTATTCCTGTGAGCTATGACTCCAGCTTGTGCCAGAGAATTTCAGCCAGCCCTTCCTGATGGCTGCCTTTACAGATTTTGAATGTGCTTATCCAGCTCCTACAAGTATCATAAGCCAATTCCTTGAAATAAAGCTCTTAATATATTTCCTATTGGTTCTATTTCTCCAGTGGAACCCTGACGAATATACAACAAGATGATGCAGTCTTGAAATACATTTGCTTAAAAGACTATGGAGTTGTTGAAGGCTTCAGAGGAGGTGGCTTTTGGCAGGGACTTGAAGGATGGATAGGGGTTTGCTACGTAGGGAAGGGCATTCATTCCCAGCAGAGCACATGCAAAGACCTAGAGTGGGGAAGCCCTATCCCTTCCTCCACCGGTGGCTGGAGATAGGCTGTGCAGAATTGTGAGCCACATTCTGAGGTCCTCTCCTCTCCTGTCAATTTCAGGACTTCAGCACTTGTCCTGGAGGCCAGGGGTTCTCTCTTTCTCTCTTTAAAAGATCTTCATTCTGTCTTTTTATTTTTTAATTGAGATATAACTTTCATAAGTTAAGTGCATAGGTTTTAAAGAAGAACTTGATGAACTTTTTACATATGTATATATCCATGTGATCCCCAGCAGAATAAAAATATACACCCAAGGCTGGGATTAGGGCGAGTGAGGTGAGCCATGTCAGCATAGGGTCAGATTCTGCCTTTATTATTATTTTTTGTAAATCCTCACCCAAGGGTATTTTCCCATTGGTTTTTAGATAGAGGGGAAAGGAGGGAGGGAGGGAGAGAGAGAGAGGGTAAAAGAAACAGGGGTGTGAGAGGGACACATCCATTGGTTGCCTCCGCATGACCCTGACCAGGGCGGGGGCCAACGGCAACCCAGGTACTATACTGCCCTTGACCGGAATGGAACCCAAGACTCCACTCTCTAACCGCTGAGCCAAACTGGCCAGGCCTACCCCGTCACCTTTTAAATAGTGCACACAGCCCAACCAGCAAGGTGCAAGTCTCAGCAAGCCCAGGCCCGTAGGGTAAAAACTAGCCGTCCTAAGGCGCCTGGGCTCCTACTCCTGCCATCCCGCGGGCTGGCTGGGAGGGGTGGGGGGCGGGGCGCGGGCTGGCTGGGAGGGGAGGGGGCGGGGCGCGGGCGGGGCGTAGGCGTGGCGGGCGGGGCGGCGCGGCGCCGTTGTTCCGGGATCCGGTCCCGGGGCTGCGCCGCCGCCTCCGGGCGCGCCGAGTGCTGGCAGCCGCTGGTGGGCGCATGTTGGGGCGCGCGGCGTGGCGGCGCTGCCCACGGGGGCGGAGGCGCAGCCGGGAGGTGCTGCTGGCGCTGCTGGCGCTGCTGGCGCTGGTCGGGCTGGGATCGGTCCTGCGGGAGCATCGCGGGGCCAGAGGGGCTGATTCAGGACCCCCGCGCACCCCGCGCTCCGGCCGGCGCGACCCGGTTCTGCCGCGGCCCCCGGTGCCCGAGGACGCTTTGGGCTCGCGGGGCGAGGCGGTGCGGCTGCAGCTGGAGGGCGAGGAGCTGCGGCTGCAGGAAGAGAGCGTGCGGCTGCATCAGATCAACATCTACCTTAGCGATCGCATCTCGCTGCACCGCCGCCTGCCGGAGCGCTGGAACCCGCTGTGAGTCCGCAGGTGGCGGGGGAGCCTTGCCCGCGGAGTCCCGGGACCTCAGTTGCTGCATCTGTGAAGTGGCGGGGTGGCTTTGGGGTCTCAAAATACCTGGGATCGAGCGTCTTAGGGAGTCTTTCTTGGGAGTTGGCAGTGTAAGAGTTTATATAGGGGGAGGGGCGCAACAAAGTTTTTTAAAAATGGAGAGAAAAATGCCAGAAGTTGAGGAATCTGTTCCTATGTGGTGTCTTGGCTCCCTCCCCCTTGAGAAGGTCTGTCATTCGGTCCAGAAAAGTGGGGGTCTGGACTAAGACAGGTGTAAGATGAGACCCCTCTTTGGGTGCCCTTTCTGGGTCCTACAGCACCTTCAGCCCAGCTCTGCCAGTATCGTCCTGCCTTGGCAAAGCCAGGGACTCCTGGGGTTGAAGATAGGCTCCGTTCATTTCTGTGTGCGCCCGGGCCCATGACTGAACCGGAGTGGGGTGTGCCCAGGCAGGTGAGGTGAAAGTGGCTGGACCTCCACGTCAGGGGCAGCAAGCACCTTCTCTCTCACCTGATCTTTAGGAGTGGAAGGGCTCCTGGCTGTGGTGGAGCTCACTTTACTCCCGTGGGTGGTGCAGGCCCAGAGCCTGTGTGACCAAAGGCCTAATTCCTATTGGAGCTGCTGGCTGGGTGTCTTGTGCCCACTGCAACAAGCAGTCAGAAGGAGAACGGCCCTTCTGGCCTACTCTCTTCTTTCCTCTGCTGGTGGGAATCTTCCAGGCCCCTGCTTGAGCCCCTTCTTGAAGACTTTGAGGAAAAGAGAACTGGTAGAGGGGATCCCTGGGAGGATCTAGTTGGGCAGCCTGCTGTGTGTATCAGCCACCTGCCGCCCCTCCCTGATCCTTGTCTCCTAATTTACAGGTATGGAAGTAGGCTCAGAAAGGATAGGTGACAGCTAGAAAGTGGTGGAACTTGGGAGGACTGGGACCTTCCTGGTTCCCTTGGCACTGTGCTAGTTTCAGGATTTAAGGGACCTGCCCTGCCGATCCTTGGCCAGAGAGAGCATGAATGTCTGCACAAGGTGGCCCTACCTCTGCAAAGTTTGGATGGACTTGCACCTTCCGATTATTTCTCATCTCCAGCCTTGTGCTTTTGCCGGAGGCATTTTCACGGTTCGTCTTTTTGAGAAGTTTGTTGGGATTGTTCCCCCCCCACACACACGCACACCCCTTCAGCCAAATGGCTGAATGCATGTTTATCTCCTTGAAACTCCAAGGGTGTTCACTGAGTGACAGTCTAGGGGAAGCTTTTAGGTTAGACCCAGGGTGAGATGAAATTCTCACTTTTTTGCTCATCAGCTCTGTGATCTTAAGCAAGCTATTTAGCCTCTCCTAGTCTGTTTCCTTATCAGCAAAATAGGGAATGCGTAGAAATAACCAACCTAGGAATTAATAAAGCACCTAACACCTGGGAACACACTGCACACTCAATTCTTATGAGTTTTTCTCTCTTTCCTGTTGCCAAAAATTTACGCAGGAGGTCACTTCTAAGAGTCATCCAGGGATTGGTTGTAAAGTTTTTCTTTTCTGGATTCCAACTTCCTTTATTGTCCCAGATTGTGAAATCGCTTTGAAACACTGTGGATGATCTATGGTATCCTGTCTCCATGGTGATGCAGCTGCCTTATGTCCTATCAGGATTTCCTTGTAGATCCTGCTGTGGCATTGACTCTGGGAAGTTAATTCAAACACAGCATGATAAGGAGAATGAATGCCTCTTGTCTTTAATTGCTGCAGCAAGGCCTGTTGGGTTTTTCTTGCCTAGCTGTAGAGAAAGGTATGCTTATCTGTGTTGGGCTCAGCCCAGCCAGGGCTTGAGGTATAACTACCGTGTGGCCAAGGAGTGTCAGGGCCTTTCACGGAGACTAACTTTTATCATAGTTTGTTCAGGGGTGAGGACATAATCAGGCTCTTCAGATTTAGCCTGAAGAATGGGAGATTATGAATTCAGGTCAGGGTGGGAGGGATGGTCCCTTGGGAATCTAATTAATAAGCCGTGGGGTAGTTAAGATCCTTGAATGTCACAGGAGGGAAAGCCCTGAAGCAGCATCCAGTCTCAACTAAGAGAAAAAGCCAAGGTAACAGAAGATCTGGGCAGAGCTGATCTAGAACCCAGATCTTTTATTCCCTTCTCCCTTTTGGGGTGGAGGCAATTATTTATCTATTTTAATTATAATAATAATACATGTTTGCCCAGCCGGTGTGGTTCAGTGGTTGAACATCAACCCATGCACCAAGAGGTTGCCAGTTCGATTCCCAGTCAGGGCACATGCCTAGGTTGTGGGCCCAATACCCAGTGTGGGGCATGCAGGAGGCGGCCAATTGATGTTCTCTCTCATCGATGTTTCTCTTTCTCCCTCTCTCTCTAAAAATCAATAAAGAAAAAAAAAAAACATGTTCCAGAAACTTTAGTATGTACAGAGAAGCAAAAAATACAAAAGTAAAAATCACCCATAAACCTACCACCCCGAGAAGAACCACTGTTAACATTTTGCTGTGCATCGTTCTAGACACTTCCAGGTATAGAAGTAGATTTTGAAAAATACACATATGGGTATGTCGGTGAGAACATATTCAAACATGAGTATGTGCATAGGCCCTCACACGTTTTTAACCAAAGTCTTTACACTACAGCAGGTCCTTGAATAGTATCCTTGCATTCAAAGTTGGTTTCATTATAACATTGATGAGAGGCCATGGGAACTCATCTGTTTATATCAATTAACCTATGGTAAAATTAGTTTCATTATGTGTCGTTTCACTTAAAGTCAAAGAACCTATTGATGTTAAGTGAGGACTTGCTTTACTGTGGAGAAACCTGTTACCATAGAAAGGGAGTTGGAAATTCCCAAGGGACTATTTGGCTTGGCTCTTCCTCGAATCTGCAAGCCTTGGTACTGTCTGCTCTCTTGGACATATTGGGCAGAGCCACCCTGATAGAGAAACTTAGGCATGTTGGTTCTAATTCCTTAAAACTTGGTGTAGACTCCTGTCCTGAGTCAGTCTAATACTTCATGTGACCATGAATTAGAGCACAGCTTTTTTTTCTCTTCTTTTAATTCTCACCTGAGGATACACACACACACACACACACACACAATTTTTTTTTTTTTTAATTTGAGAGAGAGAGGAAGGGAGAGGGAGAGAGAGAGAAACATCAGTTGCCTCCCATACTTGCCCCAATGGGGATCAAACCTACAACTTGGGTGTGTCCCCTTATCAGAAATTGAACCTGTGACCCTTCAGTGCACGGGACAATGCTCCAGCCAGCTGAGTCACTGGCCAGGGTGAGCACAGCTTTATTTCTGCTAGTTATAGCACTGGATCAAAGAGGAAGAGGAGGAGGATCACAAGGAATCCTTACATGGTGATATAAGTATAGGGTTTGCAAAACTCTAACACATTCAGTCTCATTTGAGCCTAGCAGGGAGGGGGTGGGGAGAGACTTTCACTGTGAGATGGCAGCAGGCCATCGTGGGGAGCCAGATAGCTGAGTTTATGGCCTTTGGAGACTTATCGATGACAGAGACCTTCTCCAGAACACTTAAATATAATTTTCTGTGGGTAGAGCCTAGGCTAAGGCTGATGGCAACTGGGGTTGAAAGCTGCTGGCTGAGGGCCTGAAGATTTCTCACTCAGAAGATAAAGGGTTAGTGCTTTGGAGGGTGTGGGAGAATACCGGAATTGGACAAAGTGAGGATTAAAAACAGACCATGTGCAGTTGAAAGTTGTGATGGCATCGCAGTCCTTTGTAAGGTGTGTCACCAAGTAAATGGTTGCTAACAATTTCGCTTGACCAATATTTGCAAAAAGTTTTGTCCGCCTAGATCAGGAAAGCCTGGAGGTAATCTCTAGAATGTCATTCTTGTTTGCACTCTGACTTACTTAGCAGGTGAGGAAGGTGGAGTGACAGAACATTTTCATGGGCACATGGGTGGGGATGCCATGCATGTGCACATCAGCCATTCTCTGCCATAGCAGAGGAGTTGTGAACCACTGGTTAGGAATGTGGGTAAATAATGCACAGGTATTTGATTTCTTAAATGCTTGCTCTGGTTTTAGCTTTATTAATGCCATAATTGCTGATGTATCTAAGTTCAGGGATTAGGACTTGGGTGCTGGGACGACAGTTTCAAAATAGCTCTAAATAGGTAATTTAGCAAAAGTGTTTGTGTCTTGAGGGGATTGGCAGGGGGGAGTTGGTTAGAAATTCTCTTTTTGCAGAGAGGTAGCCTGCTTGTCTGTTCTGATAACATTGTCTTTGGAAGAACATCACACGTAGTGGGAAGCTCAGACTGATGTTTTTTGCTTCTCCAACAAGGCAGTAAATTGCAAGATATTTTAATTCTTAATAGACTCACGTTGGCATCAAAGTGGCACCTTTCTTTGACTCAGTTCTTTAAGGATAGGACATATTAAGTTTTGTTAGTATTTTTTGACACCTTTTTCCAATCATGCTATGTTTTTATGTTTTAGGTGTGTCTCTAGCATGTTGGATTTTGTGTTATTTTTTTAAAAAAAATCCAGACTGACAATCTTTGACTTTAACTAGATAATTATGTTCATTTATATTTATTGTGCTTATTAATATTTTAGGATTTAATTATGCCATCTTATTTTATGCTTTCTATTTGTTATGCTTTTTCTTTCTCAGTCAGGGTTCTTTTGGTTGAAAGTGACTGAAAACCCAATGGAAACTGACTTAAATACAAAAAATATGTATATTGGACTTCTATCGCAGAAAAGTGTGGGATGAGAACTGGGTTCAGATCATTTTGGGCTGTGGATTCAGGGATTCAACTGATGTCATCAGAAAATAATGACTGGTCAGGCCTGGGGCATTTGACCTTCCCAGAGGGCTGTGTTTGTAAATATACATGTGTGTGTCATATGTGTATATACATACATATATGTGTGTGTGTTTAGCCCTGCACAAACCACACAAACCGAGAGTCCAGGAGGCATGGTTTC